TGAGGTATTTTCCTTTGTATGCCAGACCCAGGGGATCCTCTCAGCCCTTGCCACGGACTTGGGAATCTCCTTTTCCTACAAGATCTCTCTCCTCCTGACTGGAAGGAGACCCCAGAAGAAGAGGAGAGTCTTCCCACAGCTTCTCCCTCCAGCTTCACTCCCATCTGAATACTCCCTTCGGACCCTCAACATGGTCTCCCCTTCTCAGCTGTGAGGCTCCTTCCTCTGGCTCCATAGATATTCTCCTCAGAGCGGATGATCCACTCAGATCAGAGCCACTTCTTCCTCCCTCAAACCCCTCTGACTCTCTCTCTCCCCAAACTGTCTCCTGGGCAGCCCCATCGCCACTGCACAGCGCTCCTTCGGCTCACCGGGTCTGGCCTGGTGAATGGGGCTTGGGCTACAGGGTGGCTTGGCAGGGCACATCCCATCCATGAGTATTTTATCCATAGGACCACAGAACGGGATGGTTGGGAGGGACCCCCGAGGGTCCTCTAGACCAACCCCCTGCAATGCAGGAGTCTTTTGCCCAAGATTGAAACCACAACCTGGAGGTTAAGAGTCTCATGCTTTACTGACTGAAGTATATCTAAGTTCAGCATTTTTTCCTCATTTTTGTGCCAGGTTAGGCTTGTTAGGATATAGTTCCGTTCCACCTTACAAGGGTACAGGCATGACGTTTGTGTGTCACATGCCTGTTTACTCCCAGCACTGCTGGCAACTTCCGTCCTGTGTAGCTTCTGTGTTACGGCTTTTCGCTGGACACGAAGGCAAGCAGTCATGGTTTCCTTTCTTCCTGGACTACGCTGAATAAATGCCGTACATTTTTGCTTGCACATATTCCTCTGTCCGCCTCTTTCGTTGTGGATGATTTATACACTCGGCTGACAGATGATCTTTACACGGGTCTTGGAGCATAACTGAGGCTCGTGTCGCTAACTGACTGATGTTGTTCCACGGGAGACCGGTGATCGTCCGGAGCAAGCTGGGGGCCTGCCTGATGCCCCCGTCTCCCCAGCAGTATCCCAACAAAGCTAGGCCATTTTGCTTGGACAATTTAAGACCGGGAGTGACTTGTCAGATTTTAGCTGGCCCACATGCATCTGAGACTACAGAACATGGAGGCTGTCTTGAACCCCATATATCTATATATATTCCCATGTAGTGTGAGCGCTGCTGCTTTGCATGCAGTAGATCGATCCCAGGTTCAATCCTCAATATCTTCAGGTAGAGCTGGTAATGTCCCCTGTCTGAAACCCTCACCACTGCAAGTAACGGAAGACAATAAGCCACTACTAGTATATCCTATCAGGTGCTTTAACAGAGAACTATCTCATATAATTTACCGTATTTTTCGCTCTATAGGATACACGTTTTCCCTCTTAAAAGCAAGAGAAAATGTGTGTGCGTCCTATGGAGCGAATGCAGGGGGGAGGCAGGTGGGAAAAGCCCCCAGGAGCCGCACACAAGCTCTGTGTGCTCTTGTGGGCTTTTCCCCAGGAGGGAGAAGGGACTGACTGGCTGCATCAGTCCCTTCTCCCACCTCATAGAAAAGCCAGCAGGAGCCGTGCGCTCCTTAAAGGGTGTGTGGCTCCTGTGGGCTTTTGCGGGAGATGGGGGAATTCCCCCACCTCCCGCAAAACAGGAAGGACTGGGAGAAGAGCACAGGCTGCCTGCAGCCTGTCTGCTGCTCCCAGAGCTGCGGGGGGGGGGGGGCGATCATATTTTTTTCTTTGATTTCCCCCTCTGAAAACTAGGTGCGCCCTATGGTCAGGTGCGCCCTATGGAGCGAAAAATATGGTATGCAAGATTATCCTTTCCCCCCTGTGTTTCTTTTCCTTTAATCTCTTGTGAAAGGAAAGCACCTCTGAACAATAATATGCTTTCCCTTGGATATGTTCCAGCTAGTTCTGCAATCTGATATTGCGTGTGTACTTAAGAATTATTGTGGGTCAAAGGAACACAAGCAAAAATGGCTTGGATCACAATGGGCAGTGCAACAAAAGCCCTGCTAGTGCTTAGAATGCAAAAGTCACACTGATCTGTCCTCTTTGTGCCCAAAAATGGCCTGAAGTGTTGCACTGCTATAACAGCTGACAATTCCTTCTGGATCTTTGGCTTTTGTTTAAAACAATGGTGCTTCCTAATTCTGTTGTTTTCTGTGCAGATCACATTAGCTAGTTCTTGCTGCATAGCATCACTTGCTTATAGATTTCTTTCTCTTTCACACATGCATACATGAACACACACACCAGGTTAAGGGGGGGAAAACCCCTTCCTGTCTGTTGCCAGATTTAGGCTTTATCTATAATTTCTGGCTCTGCTGTGAGCCTCTTGGATGGTTTTAAATTTTGCAGTCATTTAGGGGTTTTTTTTTTAAAAAAAAAAGATCTGATACGCTCAGTTTTCTTCCTTTTTACCTTATTGTTCAAACCATTGATGTTCCATGATATAATGTTCATATTCATGAATTTTTATTAGACACAAAGTCAAATATCAACATCAAATATAAAACTGCACTTAAGTACAATAATATAGTTGTGGGAAACTCTACTTCTTTTCTTATCCTCCTGGACTTTCCTGTCCTTGTTCTCTTTCTCCCCCAAAAAAAAAATTTTATTGGTTTTCACATTTACCACATAAACAGGAAAACAAGAAAAAGAAAAACATTACAATACACAAAAACAAAGAAAACACATAAAGAAGAATTTCTACTTCCAATTCCTAATTTCATTTCATTGATAACTGACTTCCTTGAACTGACTTCTCCAAATTCATATTTCTAGTAATATTAACTTCTTTCATTTACTAACAACTTCTCCTTTATTAATATTCTAATCCTTAATGTTTATTAACAACATATTCTTATTCTACTACTAAACCTAATTGTTACTTCCAAGAAATTTCTCTTTCTCTTATATTACAATCTTTAGCTAAATAGTCTTTAAATTTCTTCCAGTCCTCTTGTGTCTCCTCTTCTTTCTGGTCATGGATTCTTCCAGTCAGGCCAGCAAGCTCCAAAAAGTTCAACATCTGCCATTCTTCTATTGTTGGTATCTCTTGCGATTTCCAATTTTTGGCTAATAAAAGTCTTGCCACTGTAGTGGCATACAAAAACAGTCTAACATTTTGGGGGGCAATTCCAGTCCTATTATTCCAAGTAGAAAGGTTTCTGGTTTTTTAATAAATGTATTTTTCAACATTTTTTTCAACTCATTATATATCTTTTCCAAGAAGTCTTTCACCAGCACAATAAGATTAAACACTACGGAGCGGCATCTTGCCGTTAAAGTAAGGAGTGTTGGGTTTGGCTGTCCTTTCTTGGTATTTTTATTTCTTCTCTATATAAACACTGATGTCAGGATACAGGAAGCTTCTGATTCTAAGCAGTTGCCAGGGTTGGAAGATGGCCCAGAGCAAAGGGGGGGGGGGCTGTCATGGAAACACTCTCCCAGAATGTAGGTGAAAGGCCGGACTCCACAGATAGCCTCTCAGAAATGGCTGGCCAGCCTTTGAGTATTCAAGAGCGGGGGGGGGGTACAGGAAAAAGGATGTGATTCGTCACAGAGTATGAAGAGAAGTTTCCTCCCACATTGCATTTGTAGGATGAAACGTGACACTGAGAACTTAGTTGAGTCATCATCGTAATGGCGACCAGCTCGCGGGAGAGGAGCTCCTGGTAATCTGTTCTTTTCTTGGAATAAAACCAACTTTATAAATGAACTGCACTCGTGCGCGACTCACTGCCATCACAACTTACTATCCCTATATATACAATGGTTCTCTCTAGGTACACACAGGGCTGGTGTGTTCTTCAAGCTATCCTATTTATCGATCCCGCCCACAGAGGTATTTTCGCTCTGAGAGATCAGGAGGGGGGGCGGGTAGTGCTTAAGCGCCCCATATTTAATGTTTAATAACAATTACTGAGTGCTGGGTGGATTCCTACAACAGTATTAAAACTACATGTATTCAATAAACATTGGCCACATGTTATAAAAGGAATATGGATTGTGTTTCCCCACCTTTTGATTTCTCCAGGCAACCAATATTTAAGATACTTAACTTGTGGTGCCCAGAATTGAACACAGTATTCTAGGTGGGGCCTGACCAAGGCAGAAGAAAGTGGTACTATTCCTGCCCTTGATCTGATTCTGCCTTCTGCCACATTGGCCTCCGCTCCCCATTTGGTGTCGTCTGCAAATGGGATGAGCATCCCCTCAGTTCCTTCATCCAAGTCATTTTTAAAGACGTTGAACAACAACGGGCCCAGGACAGAACCCTGCAGCACCCCTCTTGTCACTTTTCCCCAGGATGAGGAGGAACCATGAAGGAGTCCTCTTTGGGTTTGGTCAGTCAAATCCACCTAACAGTTTCCTCGTTCAGCCCACATATTACCAGCTTCCACATAAATATTTCATGGGGGGACTTTGTCAATAGCCTTACTGAAATCAAGATGCACTATTTTAACAGCTGTCCCCTGATCGACAAAGTTTGTAACTTCATCCAAAAAAAGGGGAGGAGAGATTTCTCTGGCTTGACTTGTTTTTGGGAAAGCCATGCTTTTATCCTTTATGTTTCTGTTGTGAAATCTTCAGATGAAGGGCACATAAATATTAAAAATGATAATAAATAAGGATATTGACAAGCTGGAACATGTACAAAGGAAGGCGATTTATGTCTTTATTTAATTTGTATAATACTCGACCCAGTGGTGCTGAATTGAATAAAATATTGGTGGTGGGATAAGGTAAGGCCCGCCTAGCACAATCAATCACATGATGCATGCATGCCATTGGAATGGCGATGCCTACCAACTGAGGGGGTGGCCCCTTCAAATATATTATTGGGGAGCAAAGACCCCTTGGCCTCTAAGAGTAGGCTCCTAATCCCTGTTCCCACATGTCGCAGGATGGTTACAACAGAAAAGCACAATATATAAACACAATACACATCTGTAAACCCCCCCCCACACATTTGAAAAGGACCTTACATGTCAATCAGCCAAAGGCCTGGTTAACAAGGTGCGGATTTGTCTGGTTCCTAAAGCTGTATAATGGTTTTTCCAACCTTTGTATGGATTCTTTGATGGGAAGTGAGAGAGTAGCTCCGACTAAAGCTCTTTCCACATTCCACACACTGATAGGGTTTCTCCCCTGTATGAATTTTTTGATGGGAAGTGAGAGAGGATCTATTAGTGAAGTTCTTCCCACATTCCACACACTGATAGGGTTTCTCCCCTGTATGAATTCTGTGATGCTTAGTGAGATCACAGCTCTGACTGAAGCTCTTTCCACATTCCACACACTGATAGGGTTTCTCCCCTGTATGAATTCTGTGATGGGAAGTGAGAGATGCACTATGACTGAAGCTCTTTCCACATTCCACACACTGATAGGGTTTCTCCCCTGTATGAATTTTTTGATGGGAAGTGAGATCGTAGCTCTGACGGAAGCTCTTTCCACATTCCACACACTGATAGGGTTTCTCCCCTGTATGAATTTTTGATGGGAAGTGAGAGAGGATCTATCAGTGAAGTTCTTCCCACATTCCACACATTGATATGGTTTCTCCCCTGTATGAATTTTGTGATGGGAAGTGAGAGAGGAGCTTTGACTGAAGCTCTTTCCACATTCCATGCACTGATAGGGTTTCTCCCCTGTATGAATTCTTTGATGGGAATTGAGAGTGTCTATCCTATTGAAGCTCTTTCCACATTCCACACACTCATAGGGTTTATCACCTGTATGAATTCGTTGATGGGAAGTCAGACTTTGGCTGTGACTGAAGCTCTTTCCACATTCCACACACTGATAGGGTTTCTCCCCTGTATGAATTTTTTTATGGGAAGTGAGAGAGGAGCTCTTCCTGAAGCTCTTTCCACATTCCACACACTGATATGGTTTTTCCCCTGTATGAATTCTGTGATGGCAAGTCAGACTTTGGCTGTGACTGAAGCTCTTTCCACATTCCACACACTGATAGGGTTTCTCCCCTGTATGAGTTCTTTGATGGGAAAAGAGAGAGTCTCTCCGACTAAAGCTCTTTCCACATTCCACACACTGATAGGGTTTCTCCCCTGTATGAATTTTTTGATGGGAAAAGAGAGAGGATCTATCAGTGAAGTTGTTCCCACATTCCACACACTGATAGGGTTTCTCCCCTGCATGAATTTTCTGATGGGAAGTAAGATGGGAGCTCTGACTGAACCTCTTTCCGCATTCCACACACTGATAGGGTTTCTCTCCTGTATGAATTCTCTGATGCCTAGTGAGATGGCCTCTCTGACTAAAGCTCTTTCCACATTCCACGCACTGATAGGGTTTCTCCCCTGTATGAATTATCTGATGCTTAGTGAGATTGGAGTTCTGACTGAAGCTCTTTCCACATTCCATGCACTGATAGGGTTTCTTTCCAATGAGATTTCTTTGTTGGGAACTGGAATGGGAACTCTGACTGCTGCTGTCTCCACACTCCAAATTTTTCCGTGGCTTCTCCTCTCTGGAGATTTTGTTGCGGTCACCCTTGCTCTCGATTTCCAATTCATCTCAATCTGCAATGGAGGCAAAAAGGGATTAGAGCCTCAGGAACAAATGAAGAACTGAAGGGAGTTTGGTGTGTCTTCATTACCTTTGTTGTTTGTCATTAACCAACATATTTATTATTGGATTCTGATGGTTGTTGAATGTTGCTTTGCTTGATATACAGTAGTGGCCAAAATTGTAGAAGACTTTTGGGGGAAGGTGTATTTCAGAGGTTTGATGGCTTATAACACCGGCTCATAACAGCACTTCTTTTGTAGTAATATCGTGAAATTATTTATCAATGGAAAGATAATATAATCAAAAATGTAATGCAACAAACTTTGTTGAATTATCTGTATTCAATAAAAAGTCATAGCCAAATAACCAGAAAAAGGAAGCAAACTTGCTTAGGTTGACTTTTGTCAGTGTTACAGGTAGGTAGCCGTGTTGATCTTCCTTAGCTGAAACAAAATAAAAAAATTCCTTCCAGTAGCACCTTAGAGAGCAACCAAGTTTGTTATTGGTAGGAGCTGGTATCTGAAGAAGTGTGCGTGCACACGAAAGCTCATACCAATAACAAATTTAGTTGGTCTCTAAGGTGCTACTGGAAGGAATTTTTTTATTTTGTTTTGTCAGTGTGTTATGTGATTGCTATCAAGTTGTTGTTGGTTCTTTTGTGTTCTTTCATTTAGCAAGTTTGCCGAACATAATAATTTTTTTTTAATGGCACAAAGAGTTGACTGGACACCAAGAAAGAAATGTAAAATAGTACTATTAAGTGAACAAGGTTATAGTTATGGAGAAATTAGAAGCAAGATTGGGGGAAACGTAACAAAAGCTGGCCTTTCTATATTTTTGGTGAGGTATAAGGAGACTCAGTTACTACAAAATCAGACTGGTAAAGGAAGGAAAAGGTGCACAACAGCAAGTGATGATCAAAGAATGGAGAGACTGCGCCTACGTGACAGAAGAAAATCATCTGGGTGTCTACAAGATGACATGGTGCAATGTAATGTGAAGTTGAGTGCAAGGACTGGTCTAAATGCTAGAATTCTAAGGAAAAAGCCATTATCTCTCAAGCAAAGGTTGAAAGATTAAACTGGACTAAAACCCATGTTAACTGGACAGCAGAACAATGGGACAGTGTTATTTGGAGTGATGAGACCCAAATCTCCTTGCTTGGTACTAATGGCATGAAATATGCGAGGAGAAGAATTGAGATTTGCATCAGGGGTTGAGATTTGCATCAGTGGCCCAGGGGCCAAAAGCGGCCCACGGGAGTCGTTCAACTGGCACACAAGCTACTCCCCGAACTGAGCCATCTGCTCAGCACGTTCCCACGTGCTGCGCTAAACCGGCGCGGCGCGGCGCAGCGCAGCACAGGGACTCGCTTCTGCGGTGCCGGAAATCACTTCTGCGGAGATGCAGACGGCAGAGATCGCGCTCACGTGCGCGATCTGACCCACGGATCCGGTTTGTGGGAGTGAACTGGCCCAGACGGGATAAGGCTTGCCGACCCCTGATTTATATCCTACTTGCATTACACTGACCATGAAACACCCAGATAGTGTGATGATCTGGGGTTGTATGATAGCAAAAGGTGTGGGCAGAATTTGTGTCATCAAAGGGAATGTAAATGCTCTAAAATACATAAATGAAATACTAGAGCCCAAACTGAAGCGTTCTGCATGTGATCTTTTCCCAGATACTGAACCTTTCTATTTGTTTGTTTGTTTGTTTTCTATTTCAGCAGGATTCAGCTCCATGTCATGTTGCTGGATCCCTTCCAGTCGGGTTTCAGGCCTCTCCATGGGACTGAAATTCCCTTGGTCATGTTGGGATACTGCCACGGAGAGAGAGTCCATCATGACCCCACGTCGTCTCCGTTGCGATCCATCGACCTCCCGTAGACACGCAGTATCATTCAATTAATGACACGAGCTCCAGAAATAGCTTGCCACATTCCAGAGCTGGTGCACGCTCTATCAGCAGAATTCACACAGCGAAAGATGCACGCAGGAGAGCATTATTTACAATTTTATTCAGCGTTGGTCAGAACAAAGAAAACATGACTGCCTGCTTCGGTGTCTCAGGCACAGAGAGAGAAACGAAAGCAATAGACAAAACATAAACTTCCTGTGAACAGGAAATACGCAGACTCTGTGACTCACAAAGCCTGCTCCCTTTTAAGGTGGAACGGAAATATCCTAACAGGTCACACTGTCAATGATCTCCGGCGGGCTAGGGGTTTCCTAGTTCTGCTGGATCTCTCAGCGGCCTTTGACACAATTTTTGTTAATTAAGACCCTTTTATGCTTTTTTGCAATATGTGTCTCTTGGAGACGGATTATATCCAATTTCTGTTTTGCTATTACATGTTCAATCCAATGTCATCTGGCTCCGGAATTTAAGCCGTTAACATTCCAACTCAATATTTTAAGATTGGCCATTTCCAGAGTCAGTTACAATATCTGTTTTCCCTGAAGCCGCCTCTTCCAGTGCAAGTTGTTCTAAGGCTTTCTTTTGCTCAGATCTGGGGTCTCCCCTGTCTTGTTTGGGGTCTAAGTCTCTCCTATTTTTATCCAGGAATTCTCTCGCCTGAAATTCTGATGTCAGCTTATATCTCCTCTTCATGTATGTAAAGGAGATACCCTCAGGAAATTCCCATTTGTATCTGGTGTCGGCTCTCCTAAGAGCCGTTGTCAAAAATCGGTATTTTGTTCTTCTTAATCTCAATTTCAGAGGAATTTCTCTAAAGATGTCTATTTTCTGTCCAGCAACCACGAGATCATTTTCAAAGCTATTCTGAAGGATTGCATCCTTCACTTTTTTTGTCACTAATGTTAACAAAATGTCTCCTGGACGGTTCCGTTCTCCGATCAATAATTCCATCTAGGTTTCACATTATTACAGCTGCAGAACTAAAAAACTTGCTTCACTCCATGGGAAAGTGTTTTAAGGCCAGAATTAAAGCTAAAGTTTCCCGAACTAAGTATTAATTGACATGGTGAGAATTTCTGTTAGAAGATTGGCAGATGAAAATGATGGACTTTGCAGATGTGGTGACGCTGACAGGAAAAATTCAAAACCAGCACAATCAAGTATTCCAAAAGGGTTGGAGTAAATTTATACGATATCTGAAAGATTATTGTAAGCAATTAACATCACTAGCAGGGTTGTCTGAAGACTTGTAATGAGAAATTTTCTACCTTTCTATATTTAAATTTTAAGCCATTCTGTAATGAGTGAAATAGGAATTGGAAAATGTACAAATTGCAATGATATAAAGGTTAATTTTGAAAGCCATGAGGCGGCAGGGAAGGAAGTTGAGGCTTCAAAGAGCCAGGGTGGTATAGCGGATAATGATGATGCGAATGTACAATATTAAATGGAGAATAATTTTAAAAATTATATATATAAGAAAAAAGTGCAATTTGCTGCTCAAGGTTTATTTTGGGGGTGTTAGGTTCCCAGGTGTTGGAGGGGGCGCTGCTGAGCTCTGAGGTTTGTCACATAGAGGTATTTTTTGAATTTCCAGGCAGATAGGACGATCCCACTGGGAGCCTTACCAAGAGAGGCCACGATCCCACGATTCTCCTCCATGATGCCCTTGTGCGGAGCTCTCTGGTCAGGATCCAGCAACGCCTACTCCTCTTCAGTGAAACAAAAAGAGATGTCTTCAAAGCAAACTGGACCCTAAAAGAAAAAGGGAAAATGTCCTCCTCTGAAACAGGATCAATATGATCTGCTACACAATGCTCTGTTCTTTCCTTCCTCTTAATTGCAGTGTTGTTTCAGTAGGATTGCTTTGCTACACATTTTAATTATGGATGCTTATTTTAACGCTTTAATGGAATTCTTTTATTCTATGTTTTAATTATGGGCATTCATCTTTGTGCAAATAGGTGATACTCCTCCTGGTGGTTTTCAAGTTATTCTGCCTACGCAAGCATTCCAGTTTACCTGATGGAAGGATCCACTTTCTCCTCTCCTCGTGAGTTGTTCTGGGGAGGTTCCCTCCCAGTGCCCTAGAGCCAAATTCAAGGGGTTTGTGGGGGCATGGAGAGGGGGAGGAGTGGGGGGCAGGATCCATTTTCCAGTGGATGGGGCTGGCTAGGTAAATCCTTGACATTATTTGTTCTTGTCTGTCCACTGCTTAGAAGCCTATTTCAGCACTCAGTGATGAATATAGAAATACAAGAAGCCTAGTTTGGATGGCATCTGTCTTGGATGATCTAGCTGAGATTCCTGCAATGCAGGGGGTTGGTCTTGATGACCCCTGGGGTCCCTTTCAACTCTAGGATTCCAAAAAAACTGCAACTACAGATGAATCCTACTGGCAATATTCAGAAGGCTGGTGTCACAGAGTTATCTGGGCAGGAAATCCCACACTTCACAGCTGGAGTTAACTCTTTATCAGCAAGAACACAATATTCACAGACTTGGCTGAGTTTCAGGCCGAATGAGAAGAGCAGCTCATTCCCTGAGGGTTTCTCAGTTTGCATTTCTTAGTGCAGAAAGTTTGGATCTGATATTGATCTTTCCTATTCTAGTTAGTTCAAGAGGGTTCCGGAAGCTGGGTTAAAGAGGTTCTGTCATCTCTTCTGTCAAGGTCATGCTGACTGTAAGAAGAGGCCAGAAGGAGCCCGAGTTTCAATTTCTCGTTCTATCTCTCTTCCCTCTGGTGTTCTGTACATAGTATGTGTTAAGGTTAAGGTTAAGTGTTAAGATTTAGACTTATAATAAGTTGCGGTAAGTTTAAGTTAAGTCTGCTGCAACTGGATTTCTTATGCACAAGGCCAATCCTGAACGTTTTGGATTTGGGACCATTATGCTCATTTTCCTTCAGTAGCAGTAAAGCTCTGCTGGATGATAAATAATTGCCTCTGATCCATTTTGGGGGATCCTGCAACATGTTTAGATTTTACTCTGCTAATTATACATTAGAGTTCTGCTCTGGGTCAATATTGAGCAGAATTCCCTGACCCTCTTCCTCCATGAAATCAGTTGCTGAGAGTGAAGGCCCCTGGCTCCCCACAGCTTTCCAAGTCCCCTCCGCTCTGGGGTTCAAGCGATCCAACAGTGCAGCCTGCCTTTGCTCCTCCATTGTCAGACGTCTCCGGGCTCTGAGAGACAAGCAGGGAGGGGGCTTCTGGCAGAAGGAGAGGGAGCCAGGGTCTTTTGCCTCACCATCCCCACTACTGACTCCCTGTTGCTTCTCAGCTTGGGGGAGTGTCCCGGATTCATTGAAAAATATCTGGTAACCATACTCTAGCCCTCCTGGAAGGAAGATTGCAATGCAAAATGTGGAGGCAACGGAAGGGATTTATGTGATGTGAATCAGCCTGCTTGCTCCTGCCTTCCAGTAAATAATAATAATAATAATAATAATAATAATAATTCTGCATGCCAAGCAGATGCTCTTGGTTCCCCATATTTCACTAGCCTTTCAACGTTATTCTATTAGCAACTGTGGAGATTCCACCTGCCTCTTTCGAAAGGAGGAAACTCCCCTGATTAAAGGATTTGAGGTGATGTATCCTTTGTATACTTTTTATGAGTTCTATGTTTTCAATGTTCCTGAGATCTTTTGATGAAGGGTGGTATATCAATTCAATTAACAACAACAACATCTAATATTATTATTATTTATACCCCACCCACCTGGCTGGTGTTCCCCAGCCACTCTGGGAGGCTTCCAACAAAATATTAAAATACAGTAATCCATCAAATATTAAATGCTTTCGTAAAGTAAATGCATGAATTTGGAACTGACTGACAAGGGAGTCATTTGCATCTTGTGAAAAATGGATGCCTGGCTCTAGTGGGGGTCCTCACCTGGGGGTCCTCAGGAGTTGCTCCCCCCACCCCCACTCCCCTGCTTCTGTCTCCTTTTCTTGCACTTGGTCTCTCTGCTGCTCTCATGACTGATTCATGGGGTGGGGTCCCTTTTTCTTTGCTCTGAGGGCCAGGAATGTATCTGGACAAGGGCCAAGTGGGTGGAGCCAAAGACATCTCCCTTGAAGCTTAGGGTGAAGGACAGGAAATTTATTATTCTCTTAGATGGCTTAACACACACACAGCCCTTGATGCCCAGGTCCCTGGAGGCTCAGTGAGTAGCAGCGCCCATTTCCGGCTGCTTTGCCAGCAACAATCCCTTTGGGAGAGAGAGGATGTGGTCCTGGGATGCCCTGCTCTGGGTGCGAGGGGATTGCTGCCGTGGCCTCCGTGGGGAGCTGCCCTGGGAGACACTGGGAAACTGGTCCCCAATGCGGCAGCCAGACTGTGGGCTGGGATCCCTCTCTTTACTCCTCTCCTTTCTCTCCCACCTTTTCTTCCTCCCTCCCTGTGGGGTTTTCTTGGGGGGGGGGCTAGTCCACCTCCTCGTCCAGCTTTGGAAAACCATTTGCAGATGTTCCCTCTGTTGTGCAGTGACGATGAGAGACGTCACAGAGAGTCAAAGTTCTAGGGACTCCTTTGTTTGAAGAAGGAGATTTCGGGGGAGTCATTGTTTTTCTGAAGGGGGGGCGGAAGGCCAAATGAGTTTGGGATCCTCTGCTCTGCAGGAAGGAGAGCGTGGCAGACCGGGCCCCTCCCTGGCAAGACCCTCTCCTCTCTGACTTGGGGTCCCCCCCCCCGCTCTCTCCTTCCCTGATCTTCCTCCTGGGGAGTCTGGCAAAAAGCTCTGGCTCTCAGCCCCGGGGCTCCTTCCTCCTCTGGGTAGCAGGAGCATATGGGGGGGTCTTTCCACCCCTGACCCTCTCCTCCCTGACTTGGGGTCCCCCCCTGCAGATCAGGCCCCCCAGCCCCCTCCCCTGCTGCGGCCCTGGGACCCCCACCAGATCCCAGAGAGAGAGGAGACTCACCAGATCCCAGAGAGAGAGGAGACTCACCAGATCCCAGAGAGAGAGGAGACTCACCAGATCCCAGGAGGGACAGCGAGGCAGGAAAGGACTGGGGAGGGGTGGCTGGGCTCTGGATGACCTGCCCCCCCTTGCTTCCTGGCCTCTCTAGGAAGGCAGCTCGGTTCCCTTTAACCCTTGCAAGGTCAGTCCCCCCAGCTCACCTCTCTCTCGCCTTTCTGAACCTCAGCACTTTAATCTTTTTAATGGCTATAAGGGGGCAGCTTCCCTCTGGCTCCGCGTATGGCAAGTGATGCTTTGAGGGGGTGCAGAATTTTGGCTCTTGGCTGAGCTCTGAGCATCTCCCTCCGTTGGTCGGAACCCAGAGGAAGAGCTTGCAGGGAAAAGGGCTTTGCAGGAGGCAAGGAAGCTCCTCCTAGAATTCAGGAGTGGAGAGATGGGAGGGGATCCCAGGGTCATCTAGTCCAACCCCCAGGGATCTCAGCTAAAGCATCCATGGCAGATGGCCGTCCAATCTCTGCTTAGAAACCTCCAAGGAAGGAAAGTCCACCACCTCCCAAGGGAGACCTTTCCCTGCCCAACTGCTCTTAGATGCCCCTCAAGGCAGCCGGTCCTGAGTTCCAGCACTGCTGAAACAATGGCACTGGCTGCCGAGGAGGAATCTAGCGAAGTTCAAAATAAATAAATCCTATTCTCATCATGAATAACCAAAACTTTCTTAAGCATGTTGCTAGTCAAACACTCAATAGTATGTGAAATATACTCAGAGTCGCAAAGTGATTTCATGCTCTTTATTCAGCTCATAGTGGTGAGGAGGAATGAATGAATGTCCCCTCACAGTATCTGCTTTATATACATTATTTACACAATGGGCTGCACATGATTGGCTAATTCTGGAATTCTACTGTAAGCCAATCAGGTTGTGGATTCACTTCTATCTGGAGCAGGATTGGGTGGTTCCTGCCAACCAATCATACTGCTGCATTGTTCTAGGACCAATCAGACTGCTGCAATTTGGATCCTATTGTTCTAGGACCAATCAGACTGCTGCAGTTTGGATCCTATTCAACTCAGTACATAACACCCCTCCCCTCTAAGTTCCAGTCCTGCCCGGGAGGTCGCATTCATAGTCCTCAAGGTATGCCGGTGGCCTACGTGTGCGTTGTGGCCTGGGGTGTTCCCTGGTCCGGGGTTCAGGTTCTGGCTCGTGTTCCAAGGATGCTGGCTGTGATGGGGCCGTTTGGTCTGGTGCAGCCGGCTCGCTCAGTCGTGGTTCTGGTTCCGGTGTCCTTTCGGCCTCGCGGGTCCTCTCTGTATTTACTGATTCTGCCTCTCCTGCTGGCCCCTCCTGCTCTATGGGCCTCACTGCCCTGCTGTTCCCTTGGGACTCCTCTGACCTGTCCTCCTCCTGGTTTTCTCCCGGGAATCGCCGCCGTATCTGGTCGCAGTGGCGGCGCCAGCATTGCCCCCCATCCGTTAGCACCTCGTACGACACGGGGCCAGTGACCCTGGTGACTGTGGCGGGTACCCATGCTGGGCCTGCCCCAAAATTCTTTGCGTACACTGGGTCCTGGGCCTCGAAGGTCCGGGGTTCCTGCCTTCCCCACCACTACCTCATCCTGAGCTCTATCGGGGTGAAGGCGGTCCAATCTGATTGCAAGGCGCCGACCCATTAGTAGTTCAGCGGGGCTCCGGCCAGTCGTTGAGCTGGGGGTGCTGTGCTGTGCTAGAAGGAATGTGGCAAGGCGGTACTCCCCTTGCGTCATGCGGCGAAGGGTGTCCTTGGTGGTCCGCACCATGCGTTCTGCTTGGCCATTGGTGGCAGGGTGGAACGGCGCCGAACGGATGTGGCGGATGGCGTTCTGCCCTGTGAAGGTTTGGAATTCTCCTGACGTAAATGCAGTCCCGTTGTCTGAGACGAGAGTGTCAGGGAGCCCGTGGGTTGCAAACAGCCTGCGTAGTACCCGGATGGCTGCGGACGTGGAAGTGGACGGTACCAGTGCGACTTCCAGCCATTTGGTGTAGGAGTCCACCACTACGAAGAATGTTTTCCCCTGAAAGGGGCCAGCGAAATCCACATGCAGGCGTGACCATGGTGCTCGGGCAGACTCCCAGGACTGGACTGGGGCCCTTGGGGGATCTGGGCGGGATTCTTGGCAGGCCTGGCAGTGTTTGACCCAGGCCTCTATCTCTCCATCGATCCCCGGCCACCACACATAACTCCTGGCAAGGGCCTTAATTCTTACTACCCCTGGATGTGTCTCGTGTGGGGCTGTGAGGACCCTTTTGCGGAGGGGCTGGGGAACAACGACTCTGCTTCCCCATAACAGGCACCCCTTGTGGGCCGACAGTTCATGTTTGCGGGTTGTGTAGCCATCCCCTCCACACCCAGTCCAGGACCCGGGAGATGACCCTATCTTTCTTGGAATTGTGTGCAACTTCTTGTGCCTGAATGGGGCAGTCGGGAAGCAGCTCCAGGCTCATAACCTCTTGTGCAGGTGCTGGGTCGGGGCCTGTTTCCGGTAGTGGTAGCCTGCTGAGGGCGTCCGCATGGCCCATCGCCTTCCCAGGTCGGTGAATCAGTGCATACTGGTAGCTGGCAAGGAAAATTGACCACCTGAGGACGCGAGGAGACAGCACTTGGGGGGTCTGCTTTTCGGGGGCAAACAAACCAAGCAACGGCTTGTGGTCAGTCACCACGGTGAAGGGCCGCCCGTACAAGAAATCATGGAATTTTTTTACTCCCTTACGATTGCCAGACCCTCCTTGTCGATTTGCGAGTAGTTCCGCTCGGTTGTGTTGAGTGTCTGGGAAAAGTACGCCACCGGTACCTCTCTTCCATCCGGGAGTTGGTGCCCCAGGACAGCTCCAATGCCATAGGGTGAGGCGTCGCATGCTAGCACCACCGGCAGCCTCTCGTCGAAGTGTGCCAAGACAGAGTTTGAGACAAGCAAGTCCTTGATTGCCTGGAATGCAGCCTCCTGGCGCTGGCCCCACACCCAAGGGGCCCGCTTGTCCAGGAGTCTGTGTAGGGGCTCTGCTACCGCCGCCTTGTGAGGAAGGAAGGAATGGTAAAAGTTCAATAGTCCCAAGAAGGCCTGAAGTTCAGTCTTGCTCTTGGGCGCTGGGGCATCACAAATGGCCCGTACCTTGTCCCCAGTCGGGTGGACCCCTTCTGCGTCCACCATAAATCCCAGAAAGTCCACCTGAGGCACTCCTAGTAGACATTTTTCCCGCTTCACCTTGAGACCCGCCGTCTGGAAACGGTGCAGAACGGTGCGGAGGCGGTCCTCAAACTCCTCTGGTGTGGGCCCGGCAATCAACACATCATCAAAGAAGGGGGTGACGCCAGGAATCCCTTTAAGGAGAGAGTCCATTAGATTCTGGAATATGCCTGGTGCCACGCTGACACCGAATTGCAGCCGCTTTACCCTGAACGCTCCTCTGTGCGTCACAATCGTCTGTGCCTCTGCTGTGGCCTCATCTACTGGCAGCTGTTGATATGCTTGGGCCAAGTCCAGCTTGCCAAAATTTTCGACCCAGCCAGGGTGGCAAGGACATGGCTGACCACTGGCACTGGGTATGCGTGGGCCGTGAGGGCCTTGTTTATGGTACATTTGTAGTCTGCGCAGATGCGGACCGAACCATTAGGCTTGACGGGTGTGACGATTGGGGTTTCCCAGGGGCATTAGGCACCGGCTCCAGCACTCCTTGCTCCACGAGTCGGTCCAATTCCTCGTCTATACGGGGTTTCAAGGCGAACGGGACCCGGCGGGCCTTGAGCCTGACCGGTCATACTGCGGGGTCAAGCTGTAGCGCAATGGGGGGGCCCGTATACTGTCCCAATTTCCCATCGAGAACCCCTGGAAATTCCTTGCATATGGCAAGACGGAGATAGACTGAAATTGCAGAGTTTTGAAAAACTAAAAAATAAAGTGCGAGACTGGCTTCATTATTATCAGATAATGGAGGCATTTAAATTGGACAGGAAAATTGGCTTCCAGGTGGAAAGATCAAAATTAGAAACAGAACTGTTAGAACCCAAAACTAAGAATTTGTCAAGAATGTATAACTTGCTGCTGAAATGGAATACTCAGGATGAAACGGTAAAATCGGCTATGATTAAATGGGCACAGGACATTGGACATAACATTATGTTTGCTGACTGGGAACGGCTGTGGACCACAGGTATGAAATTTACGGCATGTAATGCCTTAAGAGAGAATATTATGAAAATGATATACAGGTGGTACATAACCCCAGTCAAGCTTGCAAAAATTTATCACTTGCCCGATAATAAATGCTGGAAATGTAAAGAAACTGAAGGTACATTTTTTCACCTTTGGTGGACGTGCCCAAAGATTAAGGTTTTCTGGGAAATGATATATAATGAATTAAAAAGGGTATTTAAGTATACCTTCCCTAAGAAACCAGAGGCCTTTCTCCTGGGCATAGTCGGCCAAATGGTGTTAAAAAAGGATAGAACTTTCTTTATGTATGCAACAACAGCAGCAAGAATACTCATTGCAAACTATTGGAAGACACAAGAACTTCCCACGCTGGAGGAACGGCAGATGAAACTGATGGACTATATGGAACTGGCGGAAATGACTGGCAGAATCCGTGACCAGGGAGAAGAGTCAGTGGAGGAAGATTGGAAGAAATTCAAAGACTATCTTCAGAAACATTGTAAAATCAAAGAATGTTAGAGTGATGTTGGACTGAAAATAAGTGGTTTCCAGCTGTACAGGTTAAAGTTAATGATAGACTAAGATTAAGATTAGGATTAAAGATGTTTAAAGAAATGGAAATTTGACAATTAAGAGGGAAAATTTTAATGTTATATTATATTAAGATTAAAGATCAGGTTTAAAGAAATTGAAAACATATATTACAATATTATATTAAAGTTAAAGATTGGGATTAAAAAGTTGAAAAGAAATTGCTGGACAAACAATTTGGATTGGAATACAAAAGAGGGAGGTATGAGGAAGTCCAGAAAATAAGCAAACTAAAAAAACGGATATGGAAAAGAGATATTGTTTTTAATTGTTATGTTTTTTGTCTTTTATTGTTGAATTGTGTTCTTTTTTGTGTGTTCTTGTTATCTTTTTTTTCTTTTTTTGAGATATGTATTGTGTATGTTTTTCTTTTCTTTCTTTGTTGTTTAAAACTTAAATAAAAATTATTCCAAAAAAAAAAAAAAAGGAAATT